TTATGGTTTGCTCACTAGTGGGCAGGTATCCCATAATAGGACCAGTTTACCTGTTGCTAGTGGAACTCACCTTACTGGCAATATTATCCTGTAGCTATGAATTGTAGTTATGGTTGCCATGTTTTTCTAATAAGAAAGTGGGACTGGTGTTCTGACAATTATCATTTCCCCTTTGGAAACAAGGGGACACAGACCTATAAGTCTCTGGGGATGGATTAAAGATGGATTATGGATAGCTCCATTCTGACAACTCAGGTCAGTTGGTTTTACCTGGATTTTTCCATCTTGTAGGATGAATTCTTTCCCAGAAGTCTCTTTGGGATTTATTGAAAAAAAGCATTTTGTGTTTCCTCCTCATCAATTTTTCTAAAATGCTGGGCAGGTCTGAACTCCAGTGATGGATGTAGATTAGACCCAAGTTGACATCCTTGTTACTGTTACTCTTAGGTCACTCAATTATTATCACTCCATGGCTGTGTGTTTGTGTGCATGTGTGTGTGTCATGTATTTTGTGGTGGAAATAATAGTATTTCTGTGGGTTAACCAATGGAAACACGTAAAGAAATCTTTTCTGAAGGCATAAAACAACTTCAGGTGCATATGATAAATCCCCACTCTCACCTGATGAATTTCACATTCTCCCACCACCATCAGGACTACTTATTCATCTCACTCACCCTCATTGTTCTGCGTCCTTCCTGCTCTACAGATGCACTGGCATGTTTCTTTCCTTCTTTCTGGCTTCCTCTCCCTTCTCCCTTAAGACACTGATTCAGCACTTGTCCCTTCTCACTTCTGCACCATCACCTTCCCTTAGTGCTGATTGGTACCCGCAGTCTATGAACATCCATTGGTTGTCCATCTTTACAAAACCCTGCCTTGACTTCGCACTCCTCTTCATGGCTCTCTCACTTCTCTTCTTTACAATAAAACTCCTTGAAAAATTTGTCTACAATCAGTCTCCACTCCCTCTTTTCTCATTCTCTCTTAGACCTCTTCCAATCAGGGTTTCACCCAATCCACTCCACTGTAATAGCTCTCATCGACATCCTCAAGTCACCAAGTTCTGTGATCTATTTTTGGTCCTCATCGTACCTGACACATTGGCAGTATTTGATGGAGTGGAAGGTCTCCTTCCTTTCTTCGTGAAATACTTCCTTTACTTGGCTTTGATTTACTTGGTTTTTCTCCTTCTCAGTATCCATCTTTTGACCTCTAAACATTGGAAAACCTAGGGCCCAATGCTCTGACCTTTTAACTATCTTAACTCTCTCACTTAGGGATCTCATCCACTTGCCTGACTTTAATGACTCCCATATATCTGTCTCTAGCTTTGACTTCTCCCTGGATGAAAGACTTCTGGATCTAGCCCTAAAGGCATTGTTGTGTTAATTAGAAAAGCTGCCCTTTTCCTCAGGCACTTGACTGCCATCTTCTGGAAGATTTTCAGAGTAACAGACACCTGTCAGATGACTATAAATGGTACCTCCCACAGCTGTGTAATCCTCAACCATTAGCAGCAGTTCTTTTTCTCCACTTGGGTGGGTGTGTAACGGGCATCACAAGCTTAATAGGTCCCAAACCAAACTCCTCATTCCCAACCCTGATCCCATCCCATCTCAGCCTCTTCTCTTTGGTCTTTTCTATTTCAAAGTTCTTTCTGCTGCTGAGGTCAAACTCCTTGAAGTTATTCTTGATGCCTCTCTTTCTCTCATACCCCAGTTTTAATCCAACAGCAAATCCTGTTGGTTTTTCTTTCAAAATGTATCAGAATTTAGCCACTTCTCACCACCCCACTGTTGCCATCCTGGTCCACTAGATCATTCCAGCAGAAGCTTCCTCTATTGTTCCCCCTTGTCTGTCCTCAACACAACAGCCACAGTTATTCATTTCAAACCTAGGATGCATCATGTTTCCCCTCTACCCAAAACCTTTCAAGTGGTCTCCCATCTCACTCAGACCAAGAATCACAGGACTCCACAATCCAGGTCTGTACCACACTCTGGCCTTTTCTCCCCTACATGCTCTGTGCTCCAGCCACATGGGCCTTCTTGCTCTTCCTCAACATGCCGAGCACACATCTGCTTCGGGCACTCTGCCCAATGCGCTCACAGAAAGCATGGCTTGCTCAAATGTCACTTTATCACATTAGAGAATCCTTCTTCAACCACAGCACATAACAAAGTAATAACCCCTCTCCCAAAGCATTTCATACCCCATGCTGTTTTATATTCTCCATAGCACTTGTCATTCAGCACACACACATTGTTTAGTTTCACCTCACTAGAATTTAAGCTTTGTGAAGCTAGGGACTTCTTTTTTTCCCCTTACTATATCCCAGTTTCTAAAACTGTGCTTGCAAGTAGTTGGAGCTCAATAAATATTGAGCTTAAGTAACTAAATACAGGCATTCCTGAATTTGTCCAGGGACTATATCCTTAAAAAAAACACAAAGGTTTGAGATGGTCCTGCACAATTATAATGTCTAAATTTTAAGATAAAAGCATTTTCAATAGTGTAGGAACTAATTTAAATCTATTTTGAAAATTGCATCGATGTTACAACCTTCTGGAAGGGCATTAGTGTCCTACATAGAAAGCCGGTAGGCGCCATCTAGTGGCAAAAAAGACCCACACTCGTGTTACTTAAATTTATTAATAACAATTGAAAATGTAGTCCCTGATCCAAAAGCTTATTAACTCTATGGCAATAATAATTTTGATAGCAACAAGTCCTCAAGTATGAATTTTACAGAATATATTGAATTGAGAAAACACAGTTCCATTTCTCCTAAATTATTAAAAATACAGTTCAATTTCTTCTAAATTATTTGACTCATTTTTTACTTATTAATTTTTATGTGTTTTCGGGGATTTGACTCCTTTTGCTCCTCTTTAGTTTTCTTAGTATTTTTCCTCTACTTATTTTTAAACTCTTAAGTTCACATGGTTTTGGCCTAGGCACTGAGTGTGTAATAAAATGAAGTCTTTATCTTTTGGGAGTTTATATTCTTAAAAAACCACACCTGTGAGGGTAAACATAACAACATGAAGTTAGGTATGAATTGAGTACTGAAAGAACATGCCAGATAATGTAATCATCTCTTCAGGCCACATTTCTGAAGCCTGTTGAATCTTTATTGTTGTGTGTACTTCCATTAGAGGAATGAAGATTCAGGAGACTTAGTTTGCCATTTTTCAGAAAGTGGCACTTATCTTTGGATAAACATGGAAAAACTAAGATAGAAAAATATTCATGTCCATGAGTATTGATAGCAAAGACAAAAAATTAAGTCTGTTTCTGATTGTTATAGTAATGTTCAAAAAGCCAGGTCTGGTAAGTTCTTTGGTAAATTAAAGCAGAAACTCCTTAGTCCACTTTGGAATTCTGTGATCTTTCCAGTCCTGAGTAGCTGGGGTGGAGCCGGGAAATCTTTGTTTGCCACCAGGAGTCCTGAGCAATATCAGACAAGCAAGGAAAGGTGGTGAGAGAGGCCCAGGAAGGAGACAGACTCTGGATGCCGACACTCAGATTAGTCCCTGGCCTTTTCACATGGGAGAAGACTTTGTCTCAGTAGCTCCAGAGAGCAAAAGTTGGACCAATGGAATACGACAAGAAATCAGATTTCATAACAACATAAAAAAAAAATTTCTCAATATTGTTTTTTTTTTTTCCAAAGAGATCAAAGCCTCAGTTCCCCATTAGTGTATGGGTCCAAGCAGAGGCTGGATGATAACCTGCCAGGGATTTAGTGAAGCTAATAAGATTCTCTGCTCCTCTGGAAGAAATTTCTCTCTGAACACATTGAAATCCTTCCTACCATTCAGTGCTCAATTCATGCCTTTCTTTTTTGAGCACTGCAGCTTGACGCCATGTCTCCTATCTCTACCTATCCTATCATTTTAAGTACAGATCAGTACTTATTTCATGTTGCCTGTGTTAACTTTTTTCTTTGTGACACAATCTTTAGCTCCTCGAGTTAATGCTAAGCTACTTGAAGACAGGAAACCACATCTTATAACTGTTTCCCTGTTGGCCTTGCCATTTGACTTCCATGGGTGAAGGTTAAATGTTTATGGTGGGGAATGGTAAAAAGGCTGCCCAGTAATTGCCTTAGCTGGCATCTGGGCCTGAGATACTCAGCCTTAGTCTAGGTTTGGTGGAAAAATTCTTCATGTAGATGGTAGAGAAAATAAAATATTTGTTAACATTTGTTCCCTTGTCAAAATCAGAAGCAACTTTTAGATGTAACAGTACTAACTTCCCTTTTGAGTTGTGCTGTTTTTCATATGCCTAATATCTCTGGAAGTAGCTGCAGAAATTGGTAATGACAACAGTTGGTAGAATATTACTTAAATTTAATAAAAACAAGTTTTCTGTTATTTATGTAGTTATTTTAGAGTTTTTCCTTCTGCCTAGGTACTGATTTTTTCTTTTCTTAGTTTGCAGGTAAATATTTTCTTTGATGTAATACTTTGTATCTTTTTCTTGAGAAAATGTCTTTACACATGTTGGTGTGGCATTTTGAATAGTTTGTTATTAAACTATAGTATTCCATATGCTTCTTCCATTTTTTTTTCTAAATCATCTTCCTTCTGGAGATATATTTATATAACTTAGAATTTCATCCTCATGAAATGATATATAAAAAGGAAATGCTAACAGGATTAGTAGACTTTGTATGTTCACTAGATCTAATTTCTTTGACAATCAAGTGTTGTTTGTTTTATTTGAACAGCCAAAATTCTATTTAAATTACTTAATAGACTACGTGGGTTAAAGACTGCCTATAGTACATTAATTGCTTACATGAAAATTAGCAAATTTAGCGTCCATGACATTTGTACTATGTTTAATATTTCTAAAGGATTAACTGCTCTCATTATGCTAGCTGAAGGGACAATATTGGATACTTTGACTTGTAACTAAAGAAACATTGTTTCATTGCAATCGTGGCAAAGAATGCATGAATTTAGGTTGTATGAATTTGTCTTTTGTAGAGTATGCTGAATTTCTGCATTGCAAAGGAAAAAAATTTACAGATTTTGATGAAGTTCGCCACGAGATTGAAGCAGAAACAGATCGAGTGACTGGAATGAATAAAGGCATTTCCTCCATACCCATTAATTTACGAGTCTATTCCCCACACGGTAAGTAAAATGATAAATTTCCAAATTCTTCTCTCAAAAATTTTTACTACATTAATTAAGACATATTATTTGTGTAGAAGGTACAAATGGTGCTGGATTTCTAGTATAATGCTTGGGTACTGCCATTAACGGTATGGTTCCAAGGGCTCTTAGAATATTTAGAGATGCAGGAGGAAAAGACTTAAAAAAATAAGAATTGAGTTAATCATTAAAAATTTTATTTTATTTTCATTATAAACTTTTAGAATTTGGAAGGGATATGCATGAAAACTTCCATTTTTAATATCTTCAGTCTTTGCAAAAATCGTAGAGATACTTGGTACTATGGTTGAGTCTTCTCCTATTGAATTTCCATGTGGGCCTATATGAATATATCTATTTATTTTCTTTCTGAGGAATAAACCGTGAGTTTTTTTCCCCCATACAATCAGCAGAAACTTACAAATTAGATAATGAATTCATGATGTATGATGGGAGATAGCCTTTATTCTGACCAAATTTAAAAAAATAATAATTTTAACATTTATTTGTACAAATTTACAGGGTACGGTGTGTTGCTTCAATACTTGCATATACTGCACAATGATTCACTTAGGGAAGACGGCGTAGTTTTGTACCCATTAGTCCACCTCTTTTCCTCCTGCCTGCCCTCTCTCCCTTCCCAGCATCTGATAACTATTATTCTACTCTCTACTTCTATGAGAACTGCTTTATTTTATTTTTTCTTTTGGATTCCACATATGAGTGAGAACATGTGGTATTTGTCTTTCTGTGTCTGGCTTACTTCATCTAAAATGATAGTTTCCAGTTCCAACCATGTTGCTGCAAATGATAGGACTTCATTTTTTTTTTTCTTAACAGCTGAATAGTATTCCATTGTGTATATATACCATACTTTTTGTGTTTTTTTAATCCATTCATCCATTGTTGGGCATTTCTGTTGATTCAATCTCTTGGCTACTGTGAATATTGTTGCAATGAACTTGGAAGTGTAGGTGTCTTTTTGATATATTGATTTCATTTCTTTTGTGTTTATACCAAGTAGTGGGATGGCTGGGTCATAAAGTAGATTTATTTTTAGTTCTCTGAGGAAACTTCATACTGTTTTCCACAATGTCTGTATCAATATATGTTCCCACCAACAATGTAGGAGAGTTCCTTTTTCTCCGAACTCTTGTCAGTATTTGTTATTTTGTCTTGTATAATAGCCAATCTAACTGAGGTGAGATGATATCTCAGTGTGGTATTGATTTGCATTTCTCTGACGAATAGAGATGTTGAGCATTCTTTCATGTACTTGTTGAACATTTGTATGTCTTCTTTTGAGAAATGTCTATTCAGCCCCCTTGCCCATTTTTAAATCGGATATTTTTTACTATTGAGTTGCTTGAGTTCCTTGTATATTCTGGATATTTATCCCTGGTAGGATGCATAGTTTGCAGATATTTTCTCCAATTCTGTTGATCATTTGCTGTGCAGAAACTTTTTAGTTTGATATAGTCCTGTTTGTCTATTTTTGCATTAGTTGCCTGTGCCTTTGTAGTCTTGTACAAAAAAAAAGCACTATTCAGTCCAAATCCATGTAGCATTTCCCCTGTGTTTTCTTCTAGTAGTTTCATAGTTTTGGGTCTGAAATTTAGATCTCTGATCCATTTTGAGTTGATTTTTGTTTATGGTGAGAGATAGGGGTCTAGTTTCAATCTTCTGCGTTTGGATATCCAGTTTTCCCAGCACCATTTATTGAAAGGGCTGGCCTTCCCTTGTGTATATTTTTGGCACCTTTGTTGAAAATCAGTTGTCTGTAAGTGCATGGGTTTATTTCTGGGCTATCTATTCTGTTCCACTGGTCAATTTGTCTGTTTTTATGCCAGTACCATGCTGTTTTAATTGCTTTGGCTTTATAGTATATTTTGAAGTCAGGAAGTGTGATGCCTCCAACTTTTTGTTTTTGTTCAAGAGTGCTTTAGCTGTATGGGTCTTTTCTGGTTCCATACAAATTTTAAGATTTTTTTTTTCTATTTCTGTGAAGAATGTAATTGGTATTTTCATAGGGATTTCATTGAATATGTAGATTGCTTTGGGTAATATGGACATTATGATGATGTTAATTCTTCCAACCCAAGCACATGGGATATCTTTCCATTTATTTGTGTCCTCTTCAATTTCTTTCACCAACGCTTTATAATTTTCAGTGTAGAGGCCCTTCACCTCCTTGTTAAATTTACTCCTAAGTATTTCATTTTTTTGGTAGCTATTTTGAATGGGATTACTTTCTTGATTTCTTCTTTGGCTACTTTGTTGTTGGTGTATAGAAAGGCTATTAATTTTGTGTGTTGATTTTGTATCCTGCCACTATACTGAATATATTTATTAGTTCTAGTAATTTTTTGGTGGAGTCTTTAGTGTTTTAAATGTGTATGGTCATTTCATCTGCAAATAGGGATAGATTGACTTTATCCTTTTCAATTTGGATGCCCTTTATTGCTTTCTCTTGCCTTATTGTGCTGATTAAACTTTCAGTACCATCTTGAATAAGTGTGGGGCAATTGGGCATCCTTCTTTTATTCCAGATCTTAGAGGAGAACTCTTTGATTTTTGTCTGTTCAGTATGATATTAGTTTGGTGTTTGTTGTATGTGGCCTTTATCATATTGTGGTGCATTCCTTTTGTCCCTCATTTGTTGAGTGTTTATACGATGAAAGGGTGTTGGATTTTATCTAAAGCTTTTTCTGTGTCTATTGAAATGATCATTTTTTTTCCTTCATTCTGTTGATGTGATGTATCACGTTTATTGATTTGTATATGTTGAATCATCCTTGCATTCCTGTGATGAATCCCACTTGATCGTGGTGAACGATCTTTTAAATATGCTTTTGGATTTGGTTTGCTAGTGTTTTGTTGAGGATTTTTGCATCTGTGTTCTTTAGGGATATTGGTCTATATTTTTCTTTTTTTGTTGTGTCTTTTTCCTGTTTGGATATGAGGGTAATGCTGGCCTTGTAAAATGAGTTTGAAAGTATTCTCTCCTCTTCAAATTTTTGGAAAGTTTGAAAATAATTGGTATTAGTTCTTTTTTAAATGTTTTGGAGAATTCAGCAGTGAAGGCATCTGTTCTTGGTGTTTTCTTTTTGGGGGGAGATTTCTTATTACTGCTTCAATCTTATTACTTGGCATGTCTGTTTAGGTTTTCTAGTTCTTCATGATTTAACCTTGGTAAGTTGTATGTGTCCAGGAATTTATCTATTTCTTCTAGGTTTTTCAGTTTGTTCACATATGGTTGTTTGTAGTAGTCTCTTATGGTACTTTGAATTTCTGTGGTATCAGTTGTAATATCTCTTTTTTTCATTTATGATTTTATTTATGTATTTTTCATTTATGATTTTATTTATGTAGTCTTCTCTTTTTCTTCATTAGTTTAATTAAAGGTTTATTAATTTTGTTAATCTTTTTTGAAAAACCAACTCTGTTTCATTGATCTTTTGTATCTTTTTTTGATGTCTAATTCATTTGTTTCTGCTCTGATCTTTGTTATTTCTCTATCACTGAAATGAAAACCAAAAAAGAGTGAGAGTAGCTATACTTATATCAGATAAAGAAAACAAAAAAGACAAGGAAGGTCACTATATAATGATAAGGGCATCAGTTCAACAATTCTACATATATACATACCCAATATTGGCACACCCAGATATATAAAGCAATTACTATTAGATCTAATGGAAGAGATAGACTCCAATGCAATAACAGTTGGGACTTTAATATGTCACTTTCAGCAAAGGACAAATCAGCCAGAAGAAACATCAGAATTATTCTCTATGCTAGGTCAATTGGATTGACTGGACATTTATAGAACAATTTCATTCAACAGCTGCATAATCCACATTCTTCTCAGTATGACATGGAACATTCTCTAGAAGAGACCTTATGTTAGGTCACAAAACAAGTCTCAACTAATTTAAAAAAACTGAAGTCATATCAACTATCTGTTTTCATTTCTGATTTTATTTATGTAGTCTTCTCTTTTTCTTCATTAGTCTAATTAAAGGTTTATTAATTTTGTTAATCTTTTTTGAAAAACCAACTCTGTTTCATTGATCTTTTGTATCTTTTTTTGATGTCTAATTCATTTGTTTCTGCTCTGATCTTTGTTATTTCTCTATCACTGAAATGAAAACCAAAAAAGAGTGAGAGTAGCTATACTTATATCAGATAAAGAAAACAAAAAAAGACAAGGAAGGTCACTATATAATGATAAGGGCATCAGTTCAACAATTCTACATATATACATACCCAATATTGGCACACCCAGATATATAAAGCAATTACTATTAGATCTAATGGAAGAGATAGACTCCAATGCAATAACAGTTGGGACTTTAATATGTCACTTTCAGCAAAGGACAAATCAGCCAGAAGAAACATCAGAATTATTCTCTATGCTAGGTCAATTGGATTGACTGGAAATCTATAGAACAATTTCATTCAACAGCTGCATAATCCACATTCTTCTCAGTATGACATGGAACATTCTCTAGAAGAGACCATATGTTAGGTCACAAAACAAGTCTCAACTAATTTAAAAAAACTGAAGTCATATCAACTATCTTGTTTGACCACAATGGAGTAAAACTAGAAATCAACGATAAAAGGGTCACTGGAAATTGTACAAGTACATGGAAATTAAATTCCATGCTTCTAAACAATGAATGGGTCAAAGAAATAACCAAAAAATTCCTAGAGACAAATGAAAATGAAAACACAGCATACCAGAACCTATGGGATACAGGGAAAGCAGTTGTAAGAAGAAAGTTTATAGCAATAAATGACTACACCAAAAAAGAAGACTTCAAATAAACAATCTAATATTACATCGCAAGGAACTAAAAAACAAGAACAAATCAAACCCAAAATCAGTAGAAGGAGAGAAATAACAAAGATCTGATTAAATTTTCAGTGGGGCAAATTTTTATTTCTAATCCTCTCCCTAGCTCTGTTGCTTT